GGGGGCAAACTTTATCTCTTCTTTCTTATAAGCTGCACGCCTCCGCCGCCGCCAAGCCCTGGCTTCGCTCTACAAAAGGTAGAGTCCCCTTAGATTGAGATTTATTGGTTTCCAAATGAAAAGATTCATTTGATATAAGAGGTTAACTCAAAGTTCCTTAAACCGTGACTGGCATCGGCAAAAAGCTTTTGCCTGTTCAGCACAAAGGCAGTTCAAAGGAGCTTTTAAAACACACACACACACACACACACACGCCCGCTCGCTCGCTCTCTCTCTCTCACACACGCACATCCATATAGATATCCATACACATAAACACACTCTTACACTTGAGACTCAACTGCAATTTTCTTTTCACTTTTATTTCTTTCCGAGATTACAATGCCTCTATGTTGATAGCTAGGGTATTTCTCCCCCCTCCTTTTTTTTTCATTCTTTCTTTCATTCATTCTTTCCCCTCCCTTCTTTTCCCCCAAGCTGAACTTTGCCATTCTGATGTTGACCAACCTCTCCCCTCCCTCTCTTCCTCCCACCCACCGGACCTCCTCCGCCTTTCTTTTCCAGGCAGTGAAGGGAAAAGCCTGAGCAGATTAATCAATGAATCATCATCATCATCATCATCAAGAGAAATATGGAAAGCGGAGAAGGTAACTGAAAAAGAGATTGAAATAAAGGAAAGGAAAAAAAGGGGGGAGGACAGAAAAATAGCAGCGAAGAAAGGAACGGATTTAAGCCCAGGTTCTGTTTTGGAAGAAGAGAGGTTCAAAAATAATGTGTGTGTGAGAGAGAGAGGAAAAAAAATGCACAGAGAAAGAGGTGTTCTGATACAATCCATATAGGATTTTCTAGGGAACACAATCTTGTGAAAGAAGTAGATTGTTGGCCTAGCAGAAGCGCGGTCTGCGCCGTGAGAGTGTATCAGAGAGAGAATGAGGCAGAACCCCCCCCCCGTGTGTGTGTGTGTGTGTGTGTGTGTAGTCTGCTGTGAACATGCTAATGAGAGAAAATTAACCCGTCTGCTTGTAACTTTGGATGGCGATCCCTGTCTGACCCAGAGACGGGCGAGGACAGTTTTCCGTACAGGCAAGACATGCGAGACGAGGTCCACCGTAAGGGAGGTGGGTGAGGAAACGTCTCGGTGTCATCAGACCCGTTTTCTAGAGAAGGCCT